TCAGCCAAAAAGTGCAAAAAGAGCTATGCATTATACAGGCATATGTGAATGTACTATGTTGATGATGAACAGTGTCAATGTCTGTCCATTTCTCGAAAATTTGTTATCCCTAACCTTCGCCAATCAACTAATCATTCTATACTTTGGTATTCTAGATTTGTGATTTCTCTTTGCAAATTTTTATTCGATGCGAACGATTTCGGCGTATTTCGCGCAAACGTCACATAGCATGCGACAAGAGGCGTCAGGGTTGACGGACATATTTTGCTTTTTGCATGGGTAAGGGGCGGAGGAACCGTATCAAGAGCGGGTACGCTGACCAACTGATACTGCACTACGTTTCCGAACTGGGCTCCGGACTTTTATGAGTATCATAAGTTATTTCCATCTCAAAGCATAGGGCTGTTCAGCAGCTTTTTGTTTTGGAGGAACAGGAAATTGAGCGAAAATGTGTTTTTATCTCTATTGCCTTACAATAGCATTGCCTTGTAATCCGAAAGCTAGTGCTGTTTTTTGCAGAATTTTTGCGTGCACTTCAGAATAAGGGCCTGTCTATTGCACACTGTAACTCGATCCACTATAGTGGATTCTTTATTATAGACAAGCTAATTTTGGAACGCTACCGAACGAGTCTTGTTCTTTGCACATCCGTGCTATGTACAGCTTCATGTAAAGCGATGAACTGTGCGATGAACGTTAGGAGATGAGAGGAAGGAACTTGCTTTATTCCTTTTTAGCTCCAGTCATTTGAGGTTTAGCCTTTGTAAGATAATTGTCTGCTTCATTACCCTCATTGTCTCGTCTTGATCTTTCAAACGCTATAGTTCATTTAGATTATAAATAACTGCTATCGCCAATTTTCTTTTCGAGGTTTAAGTTACGAGAAAGAGTGCTTAAGGTGCGTATAATGCTAGATGTTAATAACTGATATTATAAAGAAGTTACGTTTATTGTAAGTTTCTCGAAAAATGGTGTAGTTGATCTTAGCGCTAGCACAAATTATTTCAATCCGCGTTACTTTCTTTCTTTGAAAGGATTGATTTAGTGATCTGTTGCATCAGATGATAAATCTTTTCAAAATAATGTCAGCGTACAACTTCTCTAGAGAGAGCTTCAGCAAGTTATATATGAATATAAATATATGTATATACATATATAGTACATCACAGCTGCGATAGATACATGTGTAGCAGCGAGAAATTGTGGATGCCTTATCATTTCAGGAAAAAACATTGTGGAACAAAATGAACTGAATCTGTAATGGAATTATACTGTGACCTGAAATAAAGACGTG